TGGGTATAATCCGTATACACAGTGGTCATTACTGATGTCTCCATGCAGCTGACTATAGATTTAGTGAGGACAAAAAGTCTGTTATCAGTGATAATTAATGGAAGGAGGAAAAAAAAATTATTGCCCGTATGAATTTGTATGCAGACTTTGTTGAAATTTGGCCCCAGTCTTGACATGCACTTTTAGAAGGATGTGTTGTGCGCAGCCATCCCACTAGGGGGTGCTGTTAGCAACAGTGTTAGCACTTGTGTTAGTTGTACAAACAAAGCATTTCAAGTTTCTTTAACCCTACCTCCTGTTATGAATATACGAGTCACTGGCAATATGTAGTCACAAATTTAAATTCCTTAAAATCAATAATATGTATGAAATGAATTAAACTTTTCTGGGTTATTGTGCTTTACGTTTTTTGACTCTGTTGCCTTCTTTTCTTTCTTTACCTTTCCACACTGGATATTTTATTTTCTTCGGGAGGAAATTATGTGTACATAACTTTATAAAGGATAAGTGAAGTGTGAAAGCATTCATGAAAATAAAATGTCATTGCAATGTTTTGTTTTGCATTGTTTTTGTTGCCTAAACAATTATTACACATGAACGTGTAGGGCGAAACAGAGTGTGGTAGTCACTTATTAGTTTATCTCTCACAGCAAAGCTTTAATCTTCTTAGTAAATAAATAAATAAAACTCATGAAATTACCCCAGACTTTTAGGAAACTACCACAAATGAATGTATGATATTTATAATAAGGGTGCAAATCAATAAAACCTCAGGACTAATAACTTTGTAGCAAACAGTTAATTATTTATGCATAAAGTTAAGGAGCAGCCTCATAATAAAGCTTGTTGGCTGTTTTGTATTAGTATTTCTCAAGTGCTGCTACACAGAGCAAATTTTTAACACAGCTTTTCAAAACATCGTATCCTGAACAATTCCTGCTCATTCTCCTTCAAAGAATCTCTCAAGCTCCTCCAGATTTCATGATCTTCCAGCATAGATCCTGGTCTTCAGTTCAACACAGAGATTTTCAGTGGGATTCAAGTCAGGGATTTGTGCCGGCCAGTCAGGAATTTTACTTTGGTCTTCTGGAGGTAGTTCTTCACCAGGAGCGACAAATTTTGGGTCGTTGTTGTGTTTGAAAATAAAGAGACGACCCAGACCCAGGATTGTTTCTGACTCCTTGAGGTTTCCTTCCACCTTGATGAGATAAAGAAAAGAAAACTAGTTTGTTTCAAAATGCTATTTTCTGTTTTTCTGTTCTTTGATTAAAAACTTTAAAATTCATAGCAGGGCTAATAATTTTGTCCACATCTGCATGCGTTCTTCAAGCTGGCTCTAAGTAAAAGAGCAGGGTGTATCGCAAGCGGAGTGGGCAGTAGTATCGTGATTTATGAGATGAATCATCATCAGTTTGCAAATTCTGATTCAGAATGACTGACACTGATTCTGAGGATAGAAACAAAGTATCCGATACCAATACCATCGTTGGTATCAATACTATCAATATTTTGATTGATCCTCTCACGTGTAGCAGGCAGTGCGACGGCAGGAGGAGCAACTTTATCTGTGCTGGAGTTGGGCGCAGTTTCGATGGCGGGGGTAACCCCGAGCCACCTACAGGCACCAATGTAAACCACTGAGCCATCCTGCTGCTGCCACCAATGCACACAATGGACTCTGCATTTTTTTTTTCTGTGTTTCTATGATGATCCCTTTTCTTGTGTCTGTGCAGACATCAATCACGTATTGCAGATGAGTTAAATAAAATGGCAGCTGGGGGCCTTCTTTCTCTTTACGCAGCCAATCACAGGCTTTCTAACACACATACAGCCTGGGAAACTAGGTCAAAGTTCAACCAGAGAAGACGGAAAGTAAGGCAACACTGCAGCTCGGCTCCACGGTGGAGAGGGGAGTGCCGCCGTGCTTTGGAAAGGCCGTGCATCCCTCTGCTTGACAGCTGCAAACAGAGTTTTATTAAATGGTGTTTTGTGTGGGACTGCAGAGGAGGGACATCCTGGCTGCGGACAGCACAGAAGGCTATGTGGGGGCAGGGTTTTACTGGGGTTATAGGTCACAAGCTTCCTGGGTTTCTTTGGCCAGCACGGCAGTGAATGGATGAGTGAGGTGGGTCAATAAAACTGATCTCACTTCAGGTTTCATATTCAGATTGTTTTTTTCTTCCCCAGCGGATGTCGCTTCAGAGGAAAGCTTGTAGATATATGATACCAAATATCTACAAGTGCATTGATTATGAGTGGATTTAAGGACGCACATCCGCCTGCGCTCCTGCCCCCACCCCCACAAAGAGGAAGAAATACAGAAAGAGAAAAAGATGCTGTTACAATTTGATGAATGACAAAAGTTTTTTTGTTGTTGTTGTTTTTTTTTGCGCTGAAGGGTGGTAAAAGGAATACACTGAGATGGAAAATCCACAGAGATACTGCGAGATTTCTGCTTTATGGGAAGCCCCCGTTGGTTTGACTACACCCATTAAACTGAATGAAGCTCAACACGATCAGAGGTAAGCCGTGTGCTGACAACTGCGCTAATAGAAACGTTTGATTGACAAGGTCTGGACATAAAGTCTGATGCGGCTGTTGATTAGTTTGTCGGCGCCACCTGCGCATTAATCTGAACGCTGTGTGAGGCAGTATTGAATCTATCGGATTATTCAGTCTTGGTGTAATCTGCACACGAAGGCTGACAATAGCTTGTTAAAGTGCATTTGCTCAGGTCGCAAATGAAGGCCGATCTCTTTATTAATCCGCGAACACCTAAACATGAACCCGCTTACTGCTCAGCAGCCGGCACTGATTGTCTTAATTGCGTCATTAGATTGATTGAGTGCTATTCTTTAATTGAGGGACTCCATGCGCTCATCAGGGCAGCACCAGACGCCGCTGGCGCCGCTTCGTGAAAGCAGAGCAGAGCAGGGCAGGGCTGGGCTCGGCTCTCCGGCCTCTTGAAACTTTTAGTTCAGGGATAAAAAGCGAACAAAGATGACTTCCGATGTTGTATCCTGAAAATATGGTTTTGGAAAATGGAGCGTCATAAGTTTAAACTTCCTCCTGCTTCTCCAAACTTTAGTGAAACACGTGGGCCGTGCTGATACCGTGGAGAGAAACCTCTAGAACTTGTGTGGCTCGATCGAAGATTAAGGCTTGATTGTAACCTTTGGGTAATGTGGAGTACCAAAGCTGGCCTGCACTCATGCAAAACTCGGGGTACGTCGGATCATTTGTGAGGCGTTTTCACGGTTTTATTTCTGAAAAATGAGACTTCACATTGGTGCAAAGGGAAACATCTCCATGTTTTCTCCACGCTGCAGAACAGCTTCGGCAGCCCGTTGTAACTCAGTTAAAGGATTTCCTCGGTGCATCAGCTGGTTAAATCTGATGCAGTGTTTAATTGCACAGGTTAATCGGATTTTTAAATGAGCAGACGGAATAATTTCCTTTAATGTGAAGGAGTGTGTGTGTGCACGTGTAACATATCAGAATCTCTTGGACTGTAACTTTTGCGTGTCAGTGCAGGGCTAATGGCAACGTGACCATCCTTTTTGCAATGTCGTGCCTGTAAACCGCCGTTTATCATGTTTAACTTCTTTTTAACTGTAATATAGAGCACGTTGGTGTTAATGAGTTTCCTATACCACTTAAAGGCAACACATGTATCCAGTCTTAACATTGGAATCCGTTTAAGTAATTATTCATTTTCTCTGTTTGATTTCCTTGCAGATCGTGCAGACTGGCGGTGTGTGGAAGTGATCCAGTTTATCACTTCCCTCCATTTTTGTCTCATGGTTCTCCAGCTAAGGTGCATCTAGTGTAGTTAGTGAAGTATTCAAAGTCTACTGCCCTAGTTGCCCCTTCTGTCTGGAGGGCTTGTTTTTCAGTTCACTTCAATTGTGTAGCGCCCAATCAACGAGATGGCGTACGGCGCTTTATATTGCCCCCCCCCAACGAACACTTGGCGACAGTGGTAAGAAAAAACTCCCCTTTAACAAGAGGAAACCTCAAGCAGAACCCCTTTTCTTTGGCTTTTGTCTTAGCTGTAGGAACCCACTGCAAGATAAAACGTTTAAATAAAATTGTAGTAAAGTTCCTAAAATGCAGTCTATAATATGTGAAGTTCATCATGTAACAGAGTTGATATATTCAGTTTATGGTAATTTATTAGTATCTTGACATACCTTCTTTTTAAAAACAAAAAACAAACATAAAAGAATCTGTCTTTAAGTTTGAACTGTAGTATTGTAAAAGCCAATAATCAATGCAGTTATTCATGTTGACTTAAGAGAATATTTGTGTACAGTGGCTCGTTTTTAGCAAACGTTGCCAATAGCTCACTGTTCTCCAATGCAAGTTTGAGTATAGTAAAAGATTCTGGAAGCATAACCGAGAACATCTCAGCTGTGCTGATTTTTTTTTTTTTAATTTTTTTTAAAAGCAGTACATTGGTTAATCGGGTACAGTGGTGTGTACCATGGTGTAAACTGACACTTGCAGAAGAGAAAGTACAGGTGTGGACAGTGGAAGAAGACAAATATCTAGATTGATAAATGGATGCTTTAAAGTTGCCCAGGGAGTTGTACCCCCCACGGCCCACCCATCAATTTGTATTTTTAAAATCAAAAAATATAACACATGCCACTGGAACATAGAAGCAATGGTTGCTGGCCATTTAAAAAAATAAAAAAATCTTGTATAAGTGTGACAGTAAAAGCAGTCAGTGTCTGTCACATGTGCTTCTTTACAGGTCTTTCCTCTGACATCCTCCCTCATGACTTTTCATTCCTTGAGATGAACACACTGTTGTCCCGGCAGTTCCAAAGTGCTCACAGTGCAGGTAGTAAACGTTCATCTACTGCAGTTTGTGCACTTGGGGTATTGCTGGTCACCTTTCCGCCTGTTCGTAGCACTTAAACTCAGCTGGGCTTACAGTGAGTTTTGATGGTTTGTTCTCAGCTTCTGAAAGACTCTGCTGTGCAAATCCATGCAAAGCTCTCTGTTTCTCAGAAATGCGACACACGTGTGTTTTGTCTGTCCTGAGCAACACTTGAAAGACTGAAAGCCTTTCACAGCAGGCACGAGATGGGCTGCTGCTGTTTCTACTTCTGCTGTGATTCTGGTGTTGTGACACTTGCTGTTTTTAAGATGGATGATTTAAATTTCAACACTTAATTTCTCATCTATTAACAATGTTAAACTCCCAAAACAACTTTTCTGACTTGATGAACTGTTCAGTCTGCGGAGTTTAATATCTTGTCCTTGTCTGTTGGGCAACGTTTTTGCTGTTGACATGCACACTGAACACTAGATGGCACCATCTCAACTTTAATGCTTGTAGATCTGAGTGAAAGTAAGACTCATTTTAAACTGACATGAAGAAATCCGTATAATGTAACAGTGAGTTTTGTGCTTCGTGCACAACCAGCTGTCTGTATGAACAATCTCCATGTGAATGAAAAATAAACTGCCGCTCATACATGTCTTTGGTGTTTTGTGTGCAGCTCCTGGTAAACACGGGTTTAAATGTATAGTGAAACGCACGAGTGATGCGCCCCAGTTAAATCCCGTACGGTTAATCTAAAGCGGCTCGTGCAGCACATTAAGCCCCTCATATTTCCACTCGAGCGCCCACACAGGGCCACTGTGTCAGCGCATCACTGAGAGGAGCTCTTTGTAAGCGCAGCTAGCTTCACGCCGTGGCGCGCGCTTTTTAAGGAGCGCGCACATGGAATCAGTGGGGGGCGTTCATCCATCTGTGCGGAGAGATGACGCTCGCTGCTGCAAATGAACAGGGAGTCATAAGTTCTCGGCATCCGTGTAGCTCCAAGAAGCCCGAGAGAGCAGCTTTGCAGGGTGCACGGACTCTGAGAGGAGGAGAAGAGGAAAGCGGAAGGATGCTGATCCGAGCCGAGCCGGGAGCTGCAGCTTCACCTCATCAGCGCAAACGCTGGCTCCTTCTGTAACTTTTAGCGCGCTGAACTTTACCGCTGCTTCTTCTACTCTGTCCGCTTTGGTTGAGTGCTGCTGCCCGTCAGCCATGGCTTCCTCACCGGTCCACAGTGCGCTCTTTCTGTGCGCCTTCCTCCAGCTGTTCTCCCTTCCCGGCGGACACGTGCCAAACTGCCAGGAGGTGCGCACAGTATTTCAGTCTCTGCACCCGGGCTCCAAGTGGGTCCCCGAAACCCCAGTGTCAGGTAACTGTCATTAATAAAGCTCGTAGATACGGGACGTTAATGTTTTACGTACCCCTGATAATGTTGTGGGATAGAGCACGTTTCTAACAATCGGCACCAACACATTAAGTCAGATATAGATTTGTAAATATATATATATATTTCCTAGCGGATAGTACCGCTATAGCGCTTCTGTGTTTTGTTTTAAATGCTGACCTTTTCAGTGAGAGCCAACCCACACTCTCCATCCCTCTGGCTGAACGTTTACTAACCTGCTCTGAGAATTTTTTTTTTTTTTTTTAATTTGGCCGCGTTAAGCGGAATATCCTGTTACAAATGCGAAACTGAAACTTGTAAAATTTGTTCTTGTATTGATCTGAACATGGAGCAACCTTGCCTTGCACCTCACTTTGATTCGGTTAGTGCTGAAACATTGCAAGATTTGAGTTAGTGTTTTAAGGAGGCTGTCAATATCCTAACTTTGGTGCTTGTTTAAATACATGACGATGGGGTAAAAGCTGAGGGAATGAAAGAGGATTAATAGTCAAAATGTACACAGCCACTCCTGTTACATTGTCAGCAAATATCAATTATGTGTGTGATCTGAGCTGCAAGCAAACTGGAAGTTATTTTGTAAATGATGCAATGATCCAAACTCATCTTTATTGTTTTTGTTCCATGGAGCTCAACTGTCACTGACTTCTATCTTCTCTAATGAAGAAGGAATAGATCTGGAGAAGTGAGTTGGCAAAAAACAAAAGGTTAATGGTGAAATGATTCGGGTCTTTGTGGACAGAAGTCCATATTTTTGTCCTCTTTTGCAGAATGCAGCATGTTGGTGCACTGGAGCCTGTTGCGTGCATTCTGATTCACTATGGAAATGGTAAAAGCCTCTCATGTGTCTGCATCACAGCCAGCCGCAAATGTTAATTAGGTGTTTTAGTGTCATGTCAGCACAGGGAAGTGCTCCAGGTTATCTGTTTTCTCTCCGTTCGCAGCATGCAATACTCCCACCTGATTCAAAGAGGGGTGTTTTTTTTTCTTTCTTTTTTTTCTTTTTGAATAACACTAAATGTTCTGTAAACATGAAAGAGTGTGGCGAATCGCAAAATACTTCAAATCAAACAGCAGGAGAGAGAGCGCGCGATGCACTTTGAAGCATATTTTGTCATGCTCCTTCTGCCACATATTAATCTCCCATCGTGTACGGTGCATGCAGCCCTAACCGCTGAGCCCTACATTTCTCCAAGCATCCATGTTTAATCACACACCTTGCACCTAGGCCATCAGGCGTTTTATCTGCCAGCCAAAGGGGAAGCTAAATATTTCTCTTGGCAGGCAATGAGAAATATTTAGCCTTCCCAAATCTGAGGCTAGGCAGACCAGCTGTCTGTGCACCATCTCTAAGGAATCAGTCTGAGCTGGACACTAACAGTTCATAACCATTACTTTCACTGGAATCAATTCACCAATCAGCCATAGAACAATCCATCACGGCCAGCGCAGGCATGGTTTGGTTTACTCATCCTCGCTGCAGGTCTGTTGCAGATTAATTGCTTGGTTTATGGCTTATACAGTTCTGTAGAAAAGGTGTTCACAAGCGTGTTAAACCTAATGTTCTGCTTTGGCTCCCTGAAGTCTGCTGATTGACTAAATGTTATGTGGGATATAAAAAATATGTAAATACAAGAAATGTTTGTCTCCCCTGTATCTATGATAGAGGTTAACAGTACCCTCAGTGATGCTACACACAACTGATGCTCCTGGCAATTTGTTAAAAATACCTTGTGCATGGAGGAAACATCTAGAAGTTTTATTTGGCCTTGAGCATTTTGGCAAATGGAAAAATATGCTGTACATTAGGTCCTAAATATTCAATAATACTCTATAAATACCCCCTTCTCAGCAAAACAATAGCACTTTAAGTATTTTCTCCCGTTAATCAACTGTGCAAGCTGAATTTTCTGAATGCGTTCTGCATTATATTGTGTTTCAATGCAAAACAGCAAGAGGTAAAAAAAAAAAAAAGAAATCAATCACTTTCAGCAAAGCAAATATCAGACAAACTCCAGGGTTAATATACCCAGTTAGAGTTCTTTCTCCAACATTTAGATTTAAACGTTAGAAAAATAAGAGTGTACTGTAACACAGCTCCCAATAAAGTATCTATAGTACATCCCTCAAGCTAGATTTACCAGCATGAAACTGTTATTTTGACAGCTACTGTAAACTACAACAACAACAACAACTGTAAAACATCACTGTACTGATGCAAAGACTGTAACACAGCATTACACTTGCAGCACTTTATTCTGTCTTCATTCTGTCTTCAACATTTAAGCACCGGCCCTGCAGATAAATGTTTGTGATTTATCGCTGTTAACCGCTTGGCCCATTGCTAATCAAACTCTAAATACCATTCTCAGTTTTCAGGAAAACACACCAGTCAAAGTCAGAGTGGAAAATAACTAATAGAACCATCACAAAGCTGCTGAATTAATGATTTCCTCATAAACACCCATGAGTCACTGCTGTAGACAGGTTGGAAACGACCATGCTTCAAGTCTTTGTCACTTACTTCTTCAGTTCTTTAACACTGACTGAGCATGTTGCCTTACATCATTTCATCAGTTTTTACAGCATTTGTATTAAAGAGTAGGCCTCTGTCAGTGCGCCCCAGGGTGGCTGTGGCTACAATGTAGCTTGCCATCACCAGTGTGTGAATGTGTTTGTGAATGGGTGGATGACTGGATGTGTAAAGCGCTTTGGGGTCCTTAGGGACTAGTAAAGCGCTATACAAATACAGGCCATTTACCATTTACTTATGACTAATGAAGAATTATGTAACCGTACCTGTATGGTGACAGGTGTCTCTCACATTCACTTCATGTCTTATGAAAAGAAACTGAAGTAATATAGGAAATGAAAAATCCCAGATGTCCTGAAATATCTGCAGTCCCGCTGTATCACAGATACTGGGACTGATGGGATTTGATTTTGGGCTCCCGGTAGTGACGCTGAATGGCCCCACAATGCTTTATGTCCAGTGACCAGCGCTGGTCCTTAACAGATTTTAAGCACTCTGTAAAGATTTCAGAATGAGCGGCTTATTGGGCATGCTCGAGCTTTTGGTGGAATTTCCATAACTCTCAAATCTTCCACTTTTGTCCTAATGAGCTGACTTTATTATTATTAGTATTATTTTTGGGGAGGACATGAAATCGGCAGTCACTTTTCACACATTTAGTACATTTTTGACCTATTTTTTTATTCATTTTTGGTCATGTCTCATCTATAATATATACTCACCATTAATTCATGCTGAATAAGTTGGAGTCACAGCTACAGCTGCTTGTCATGCAGGCTGATATAACACGAGTTCTCCGATGAGGCGCACAGTAAATGAAAGATTGATGAAATTACTTGTTGAGGGTGGCTAGTTGTGATCCGACTGAGGGAAGTATCACTTTCTGCGTGTGTGTGTGTGTGTGTGTGTATGGGTGAAATGTGAAGTGGACTGTATCAATATTGAGTACAGTGTAGGGGAGGTGGCTGATTCAGAAACATGTCCGCAGGAAGGCAGAGCAGAATTTCTAATAATGCTGCATGTGGTGCCGGAGGGGGCAAAAAAAGCACCAAAAGACTAAAGTTTTTCTTTCCAAAAGTGTGATTCAAAAGAAGTGAGTGCAGAGGAAGATTACAGCAGGCATATAGAGGGGAAAAAATCAAAGCTTGGCACATCTGTAGGAGTAGTACCACTCGTGTCTTTGTTGCGGCTGTTGCTGTGGGTGGTTGGATTGGCTGAAGGTGAAATGGAGGCTGGGTGTCGGTTCACTCCATCGTGTCATCACATATGTGTGAGGCGAGGCGCACAGGCAGCGCTGAACACTCACCCCGGGACATGAGCGAGAAAGCGGCTCCACTAGTGACGGCGCTGGCTTGATGATGGGAAGACCTTTTGGATCTCCAACAGCGGCGGTGGGACCTGATTCATGAGAGCAGCATCAGATATTCACGAAATATAAGAGTAACACTTGTGTGCTGGAGGCTGAGATCCAACTAGTTTCAGCAGAAAATCCTGCAAAGAGGTCCTGCAAAGGAGTTTTTTCCTCCTCTTCCTTTTGCTGTGAGCTAAAACAATTATAGCTTTGTGTTGCTTTATAGTTCTCAGCAGGATGCCATGCAAAAAGGTCCCAAATGCCCCTGTTTTAGAAATGACAGCGAATGACTAATAGGTGGATGAGTCTGATCTGAGGCGAGAAGCCTTTCCAGCTGGTTAAACACCGATTCATACTTGGTTTTATTCAGTTCTTCCTTTTTGAACGGTCCCACTGTAAAGACAGGAGCCTTTTGTTTACTGCCTCATTGTTATGTGCAAAACAAAAAGGAAAAAGCAGAGAACAATGTTGGGCACTTTCACATTCCTGCTTCCAGCTTTCAAACCATTGCTTCATCAAATGGTTTAAAGTGGAGCAGCTCTAAAAATACTTAAAGCCACTTTAATCCCCAGTAGTTAATGATATTATCACTCCTTAGGTTGGTTGTAAATGGCTCTATCTTTAAAAAGTGACACTGGCTTATTTTGCCCCGGAGAGGTAGCCACGGATTCCCACGCGCTTCCACTCGAAACTAGCTGTTGTATAATTTATGCTCATAATGAACGGCTTTTAGCATATTCTATATTTTAGTACAACTTGTTTTTTCCCCCATGGTCGCCATCATTAAGCTTGCATAGTGATAGCCTTCTAATTGGTGAAGAGAAACTTAGACACATACTGCACTGTATCTGTTCCCCTGACTCTGATTTCCCGGGCTTGTTAAAGATGTGAGGACTCCTCCAGTGTTTGTGTGTGTTAGTGTGAGGACAGGGCCATCGTTTCCAGCAGTGGCCTTTCAAAGGAAACTTTCTGTGAGGGGTAGAGCAGCGAGGATGGTTAGATGAGGCTGTGACAATCTGAAGGGCGATCAATGTGTTTATAAAAGACATTCAGAGACACTCATAAAAACAGCAGCTGTCCTGCACGTCGAATTACCCGGCCTCCTTTCACAGTATTGATTGAAAGCACGCAGTAATTTAAAGGCGCCACCTTGGACCGAGGTTGCATGCTGGGGAAATTTACATGTAAATTGCTACCTTGTCTTTCTTCATTTTGCGGGAGAGAATTGGCCATAAGGACGCCCAAAATTGACCAATTAACCAATAACAGGCTGATTTTAAAGTTGCTCACAGTGCCCAGGAGCTATTAAGCTCAAGGTAGGTGAAGGAAAACGAACAAAAGTGCGCGCAGATGAAAAGGAGTAAAAGAGGAAAAATAAGAAAGCAGAGGGGCGAGAAACAGGGATGGAGCCTAAAGCAAAGGGGAGCAGGAGGAAGCTCGTTCCCCAGTGATGTGTCAGTCAGAAAGAAAGCTTTATTTAGACGGTACGATTTTGTTATTTCTGAAACTCTACGGGGGAATCATCTCCCTCCCGAATCCTTTGCTTATTCCCTCAGTGCTGTGGAACTCGTGTAATGAAACACATTTATCATCTGCAAAACGACAAACGGTGCAGATGAATCTGCCTGTTTCGCCGGAGATAATTGCTAAATCCCCGTCTCTTCTCCGCTCAGGCCGCGCTCGCCTCACCTACGGCGCTATTGACAGCTTAATAATTTTGCCCCTGCAGTCTGAAATTAACTTGATCTTATCCGTCAGGAGTCTTTTGTCCGCATTGATTTAAGATATTAAGCCTGTCAGTATGCACACAAAAAGGTGCTGGGTGACAGCTTTATTGCCTCTTTTGCTCATTAGACTGTACACCCTAAACCCTGATGGGAGTCAGGGGTGAGCTGGGAGTTAGCAGAAGCTGTTCTCTGTTTAATTCTGCAGCGATTCTTAATTATCAAGACTGTCGCTCTGTTGCATCTCCCGGTAGTTTAATGTGCACCGTGTCTGTGTCTGCATTGTTGCAGCCCGAGCCCGCTACTGAAGATCTATTCTTTTGAAGATCTCACAGAGAAAGAGCCCCGATCCAATAGAGACACTCACTTTTGTTATTAAGATAAACCCTCTGCCTCCACAAAAGCCTTTCCTCCGTCTTTTGACACACCAGCTATCAAGACTTTTCTGATTCGCAATCCTAGCAGCCCCCCCTTCCTCCAAATTAATCTCACTGCTTCCGCCTCCTTATATCCTCGCACCCAAAGCAGCGGCAGCCAAAGCTGGCAGGCTCCCCTGACATTTGTTTACCGTGGCATCAATCAGGCCCTTGTCACCGATGCCTCTCAGGGAGGCAGATCCTGGAGACAACTCCTCAACGAGGCTTTGGCACGTTACCACTGCAGCCTCCACTGAGCTCTCAGCAGCCATGTGGGACAGAGAGGCTGAGAGGGGGAAGCACCGAGGAAAGGGGTTTTCACTGGAGCTGCTCTTTGTATCTAAACACTGGATGGTTGTGCCCTACTTATGTCTGACTGTCCATCATTTTCAAGCAGAGATAAGGTGGAAATCTTTAAACTTTGTAAGTATTTGGACAATTATGCAGATTTGTAATTTTGCAATGTTGCCTCTCTACACCACAACAGGGGATTTTAAACCAGTCAGTTAGTTTCAGCTTTAATTAGGAATTAAAGCCTGTTTTTATACACAATCTCCCATTTTCAGAGGCTCAAAAGTTTTTAGAAAATTGGCGGAAACCGATATTACTGTCCTTTATGTGGACAAACGTTCTAATCTCTACAAATTTTCAACATGAAGGTTTTGGTTTCACATAGGAATCTTAAATTTTATTTAATTTTATGATCAAATTCTAACTTGAAATGGGGTTTCTGCGGCCAAACTAATCTCCTAGTCACTCGAACTCCTCCACTGCCTCTTTTTGTCTTTATAATTTTTTATGTTGTTGTTTTTGTCTTGTTCTTACTGTTTTGATTACTATGTAATGTTCTTTAAGTATTTGCAAAAAAAAAAAGTAATCAGAAAATTGACTGACAGGGAGTTTCATGGCCTTCATTATTTTATGACAAGATAAACAGATACACTTCCAGTGCTGAACATGCATATGACCGCTGTCGACGCAAGTAAAAGAGGCCATCATTTGGACGAAAGATCAAAAGAAACAAGAGAGATGGCAAAAACATGTCCAAGTCAAAAATCTGGTGCTTTAAAAGAAGGAATTCACCACCCAGCTCAGCAACATCAAACATGAAGTGAAAAAGGTGAATGATCACAGAATTATTTCTATGATGAACAGCTTCACAACATCTAACCAACTGAAGAACCCTCTCAAGGAGGTGGGTTAACTATTCTCAAAGTTTGCAATCAAGAATGGAGCAAATTATTAGACGACTCAAAATGCAGAGGATTTACAACAAGGTGCAAACCACCGATTACATTCAAGAACATGAAAGCCAGATTAGATTTTATCAGAAAACATTTAAAAGAGTCTGCACAGTCCTGGAAAAACATCTTTGAACAGGTGAAACCAAGATTAAATTGTAGCACAATGAAGGGAAGAGAAAAGTATGGAGACTGACAGGCTCATGATCTGAAACACAACACATCATCTGACAAACACGGTGGAGGCAGTGTTATTGCATGAGTGTGTATGGGTGCCAGTGGAAGCAAGGCCACTAGTGTTTATTGATTATGATACTGCTGATATGAAGTATCAGGATGAATTGTAGCGCATGCAGGGCCGTAGTCTCCAATCAGATTCAGCCAAATGCTGCAAAACTGATCAACCAGTGCTTCACAGTTCAAATGGATAATGACCCAAAGCATCCTGCAAATGCAACAGAGCAGCTTTTCAGTTATTAAATGCAAAAGATAGGCAGAAAGACTCACAGACAAACAGCAACTGAAAGACAGTAAAGGTCTGGCAGAGCATTTGGTGATGTTTATGGGTTCTACACTCCAGGCTGTCACTGACTGCACCGGATTTTCATCCAAGCACTAAAAACAGTCCTAATATTTGCTCCTTATGTTGGCTCCACAGTGTGGTGGTTAACACATTTTACTGGCAAGCAAAAGATTGCCGGTTGCAGGTGGAGACACAAATCTACTTTGGGGCTGAATCAGGAAGGCCACCCGGTGTGGAGACCACTTGTGACAGCTGAAAATAGCACGCATCAAAAAGAATCCTTAAATTTAAAACGATGCCACTTTGTCCAGTTACTTTTGAAGCTCTGAAAATGTGGAACTAAAAAATTAAAAACACTGTAATTCATATAAAAATGTCTGTAATTTCCAAACAGTTATTTCAATATTTTTTAAGCCCTCCCCAAATTAAACCGATCTTCTGTATTTGTGTCACATCTTGACTGTTCAGGCTAAAATCCACTATGGGTACACTGAACTTTAGCTCAGAAAATATGATGCAAAGCATTTATTTAAAGACACAGATATTGTGTTGTTTTCTCTTTATTAATGTGAACTCTTTTTATCTAAAAAAAAAAAACCCCAAACAGATTTCACACTTCTTTTAGCATGACCATGACTCGAAGTTTACTGAGTTTCACAGTGGCGGCAGGCTCTTGTTTATCTTTCCTGCTTTCCTCCTGCGTGGGATTAATTGAATTAATTTCTTCGAAGTGTTTGCTCTTTGATCAGGTCGTGTCTGGCTACATCGCCCCTCTGAAACATCCCTGACACCCCAGTTTTGCTTTCGCAGGCTTGAATGCGTCGCTCAAAAAGGAGCTCGGGGAATCCAATTATTTCTCATAGGTGTAAACAACCTTTAGTGTCCACAGCCAGGTGAACGAATGTTGTTTCACTGCCTTCAATCTTACTCGTGGCTGGGTTTTTTTAATGTGTATCCATAATGAAAGCATGCTGGAACCTAGGTTTATTTGTCTGCATGATGCACTGCTCCTGGCTCTCATCTTAAGTCTAAAAACACAAAAAAAACATACTTTTTTTGATCCTCGGAGTGAAAAGTGTAGCCTTGAGTGGAGGAAAAGTTTCTGTTGACCAAATTGATCTCTGAGGAGAACTACACAGCTTTAGTGTTTTGCGCGAATGTGGATCAAAATGACTTATTTTTAAGCAGCAATTTATTTTTGACTTGAGCCCGGCTACATAACACAGCCTCTACATAATAATCATACGCTCATTAAGGCTGCGGACTCTGCTGGAGATATTTCTTAGTTTTTGTGTTCGGAAAATGCTGCTGAATCTATTTGTGTGTGTTTGTGTGTCTTTTTTTTCTTGAAAATTAAACAACAGTGGCTTCGCAGCTACTTCCCTCTGTTCATCCAGACTACCATCCTGTCCCTGCTGATTTCCTGCCAGGTGCAGATCTGCAGGTTTGCCAAACCAAAGGCCCGACCTGCTGTTCCAAGAAGATGGAGGAGCGGTATCAGGTAGCGGCGCGCAGCAATATGGAGTCTGGTCTGCAGGTTGTCAGCGCACAACTCAAACGTCTCATCATCCAGAACGCCGCGATATTCCAAGGTAAGCAGTCTGCACAGTTCATCCAAGACCTGCCTCGAAGAAAGACGAGATAATTTCATCTGGCACGCACAACAAAAAAACAACCCAGTGTCACAAATGCACACATTTAAACACATAAATCAAGTGTTCACTTTCTTGGCTACAATTTTTTTTTTCACATCGGCAGCTCACTCCTCCAGGCAGTGAGTCACGTATAAATAAAGCTGTAGCAAAATGCATACAGACAGGAGGCTGCTGTTCAACTAAATGTTGGAATGGCAGCGACGCGTTGTTTAAGTGACTTTAGATGTAGTGTGGTTGTCTGTGCCAGACATGTTGCTCCAGAAAGTGACAGCCTCCTGAGATTTGGCGCACTGCAGTTGGCGATGACTGTTATTCACAGGGAAAGAGAGAGAAAAACCCCCACGACAGTCAGCAGCCTTCCTGGAAACCTGGATGAGAGCGGTCAGAGGAGGCGCGCTGCTAGGACTAACTCAAGCGAACAGTCACATGCAAAATAACAACTCGGGGAAACGGTGACGCGAAAAAAAGACGTAGATTTTGTCGAAGGTGCAGGAAGCAGGTGAGTGACTGAACAGTGAAATGAAATACCTGGTGTAGCAGGTGCTACTCAGGTGTGCAAAGACTATTACAGTGTCCGAATCATTCTGTTAAAGAAAATGTACGATGCTTCTGTGTTTTCCTGTCGAAAATTAGATGAAAAGAAAAACACTCTTGGAAAGTAAATGCAAAGCTATAACCTGCAGTAGGTAAAGGTGTTTCCTCCTGCTTCTAGTGTATGCATGGTTCAGTAGTCCAATATAGTCCAAACTATGACATTTGTCATGCTAAAGCCAATATGTACAGATAAGATCTTCACTCTGAGAATAAAGCTTAAAATACGACTGCTATCCAAGTATTCCTCTCAGCCGGACTGGACCAGTGAAATTATGAGTTAAACGGGTAAAATTACAGAAAAGGTTATGATAGTTCACTGTCCAGATTATCCTGTAATTATAAAGTTTTTACTGTGAACTCACTGACCTATTAACCGCCCTCAAAACCCCCCAAACCCAGACATTTTGATATACATGGCAGAAAAACTGGAATTTTTTTTGTCATCGTTTAGCTATTATTTAATTACTCTGGTGAAGTATGAATTTCAATGCCTCTTTATGAATAGAATAAGCTGTAAAAGTTACAAAAATACAGGCAAAAATCTATGCACTCCGTCACATTTTCCAGAGCTGCCCAGCTGGCCAGATTGGACTCTTCACTTGGCTGATTCTGGCCCCTGGGCCATATGTTTGACACCACTGCTCTACATGGATGCTTTCAGGTGACCTGGGAGAGAAAAAACAGGCAGTGAAAAGACACTGCTTCTGGTTTGTAAGATCCTGGGCATCGGTTAAGAACTCCTGTCACCAGTCAAAAAGAAGGGAAATTAAAATCTCAATACGGCCACGTCTCAAGAATGACAAGTTTGACAAAGACCACTCTCCAGGGGAAAGGAAGAAAAAGCGGACAGCAAAAGAAGTGGCTGGATAACATCAAAGGAACTATTAGGGCTGATGCAACACAAGTCCAGGCTAAGAAATGAGACAGACATAGAGAGAGCTGGCCGGTCGTGTGACTGCTGTGGTGCCTCCACAGTACGTGTGATCATTGGACACATGCATTGTAAGAATCCTCCAGAAGCCTAGATTATCCACAGCACACTCATTGGCTAATGACTTGTGATTGACAGGTAATCACAATACGTCTTCTAGTAAGGCAATAAAGCAGAGGTGTCAAACTCCAGGCCTCGAGGGCCGGTGTCCTGCAGGTTTTAGATCTCACCCTGGGTCAACACACCTGAATCAAGTGATCAGTTCATTACCAGGCCTCTGGGGAACTTCAGGACATGTTGAGGAGGTAAATCAGCTGTGTTGGATCAAGGAAACATCTAAAACCTGCAGGACACCGGGCCTTGAGGCCTGGAGTTCGACACCTGTGCAATAAAGTAACGTGTTAGTGTACTACATGCAGTAATTACATTACAATTGTAATCAGATAAAAAGGAAAAAAAAACATGAAACATGTTTTTTCTTTAATCAACTGATTTCAGTTGAGTGGAGATGCGGACATTGTTTTTATTTTTATTGCACTGCAGGAAAGAGCACAAAGTTCAGTCGGCATCCAGGACAGAAAAAAAACTTGTTGTGCTGCAAACAGACTCTTTGCAAACATCTGCAGAAACAGCATGCTAACACAAAGCTAGCAAAAAAAGCTGAGTGACTCCCAACCCCAGTCCAATAGCCTCGTCTTCAACAGGTAACAAAGGCAGTGACGAGCAGTCAGGCTGTAGGCTCTGTTTCTACCTGCTCATGTTTCTAAAGTAGAATCTCTGTGATGATTACTTTGAAGTCTCTCTGCGCTGGTTTTCAGCTTTGCTTTGCGTTCATACACGAACAATGAAAGAAAGATCACACGTGTCCTTGGCAGGACGGCGATTTCGATCAGTGTGTGGAACTGTAGCCTAACTGGTAATTAGGTTACAGTGTGTATCAGGTCATTTTACCAGACAGTAATGTACTGAGTAGTGTGATGAATCTTCCAGGGAATAATGAAGTTACGTACTTCGTTACTGTCAAGAAATGTGATGTGTGCTACATAACATTTTCATTTAGTTACAATCCCAACACTGCCAGTGAGCGAGTGGTTTCACAGTCAGAGTTGTTATTTTAAAAAAAGAAAAAACCAAGATGGCGACGGCAGAAATGACACAATCTCACTTTGAATGAAAACTTTACAAAGTGGTTTCGAATGAGCTGGACGGCAACAAAGAAACACACTGCTCGTCTCTCTCTGTCGCCACGCTATCGACAGCTCTTTCGAAGTATCCCTTTCACTTTTAATGTTGAGCTTTTGTTATCGTGCTATGCAGGCCTTTTCAACCCAGCAAAGCAGCACTGTTTACTGTCTCGGGGTTTCCAGTTGAAGAGGGACTCACTGGGCCAACTTTTTTGAGAGTACACACTTATGGGCTGTGAAATGCGGCACCATCCTGACACGGCAATTAAAACTTGAGGTTTAATGGGGACCGTGGGGTTTGCTTGACTTGGTTGTTTCACACTAACAATGTTAGAGATTGCCGCTGTGGTTTGGCTGCTCTTTCCTAGAAGGGGTTCAATACTAATTGCTTTAGCATAGGGCTGGAGAGAACTCCCCAAACAGCCCACGGACTGAAATCCTTTTAACATCCTGGTCTTATCTGTTTCCCTCAACTTCATTTTCATCCTCTCTGTCTTCTCCTCCTTTCTTCTCTATCTCTCTGCGACCCTGCCATTCTCTCTCGCCCTCTCCTTTCTGTCTCGTTCAATCTGCTCAACTTTTCTCTCTCCTTCTGTCTTCCCCTCTTTTTCTATCTTCCTTTCGCGTTGGTGCGACTATTGGGAATTGAGTGCATGCCTTGTTTGCAGTCTTCTTTGCAGCTCTCTGTCTCTTCTCTTCAGCATCCACTTCTGCCAGAGATCAAAGGGCTCCCCCTCTTCACTCCTCTGTCTCCAATCTCTCCATCCCTGCATCCTCCTCTCCTTCCAGCTCCACCTGCCTGCTCTGCTTTCCCAAGCCTCAGACTACACCAGAGTTTTCACCCTTTTGAAGTGAACTTCTGCAAACAATGGAAAAGTAATGGCTCTGTCTATCTTTGTCTTTTAAGTAGTAAGATGACAGGCCGCCTTAACTTTAGCTTTCTTTAGGATCAATACCAGGAAATAGGTAAGGCATTAGGAATTGTGCTTTGCGCATGTTTCAAATGCCAGTTCACAATCTAATGAGCCTTAGCTGATCTCTTTATAGCATAGCAGGAAAATACAACATAATGGATAAAACACCGCATCCTCTCTAATATGACAGATGATTGGATTTCACTTTGATTCGCATTAGCGCGATCATACGGCCGTGTTCGCCGAGATTGCCTCACGTTCAGCGTCTTGATGTCAGTTTAGTTTCAAAATGAGAATCTGTACCCTGCGCAGGATGCACAGCTTTAAATCTAATCTTTGTAACGAGAGTCTGATCTCATGCATGCTGAGAATTTAATTTGGTAAATAAATCATGGAGTTCAATATTTCTGACGAGTGCATTAGTATGTGATGTTGCACATCGGTGAACATGTTTTTTATTGCAGAGTTTGGAGTGGTGAGAGTAGATGATAGTGATTAGGGTAATTTGAGAGTCTTTAAAGGGCCATTGCATAGATTTTAAACATAGAGCTTGATCTATGCTTTTCACTGGTAATAACACGTCTGGTGAAAGTTCTCATATACGGTCCTACGTGGCTTTTTAGCCTGTCCTCAAATAAAAATATAAATAAATAAACACGTGACATCACAAGCTTTGAGACCACAGACTGTATATAAAAGATAGACAAGCCTGGACTTCAGCATAGTCGCTATTACAAAATTGGACTTTTGAAACTGGGTGTGATGAATGTAACCACGACTGAAAACATACCCTGCTTTATCATTTCTTGTACTAACTATACTAATAATAATATTAAATAATATTAATAATATTAAAAAAGACTAAACAACAATCAGTGAGATCATAAGGTTCGAATGCAAGTCTTTACTTAGGTCATGAGTCGATCAAATGAATAAATCGCATTTATACAATTGGGCTGCTTTTTGTTTTTTGCAACTGCCCCCTGCTGGCCATTAGAAAGAATGCAGGTGTAAGGAACTTACAGGAATTGGCCTTGCTTTTTACACAGTGTGCAAAAAAAAATGGTATTTAAATTTTTCAGTTGTATCTTTTTATTAGATTCGATTGAAATAAAGAATTGTATACTGGTAATACTTTTGATGATTTACATTTTAAAAACTTAATTCTAAGACACTCTGCAATTAAGTGAAATGGGCGTGTTCATAGTTTAAAGTAGATATGCCCCAGGAGAAGGAGGAGGGACTCCCAGTTGCTGGGAACTGGGTGATAGTCGGCCACCAGCCAATTGGGAGCAACAATTGTAAGTGGCTGTA